ACCCAGAGCTACAAATGGCTCCTATAGGCGTCTTCTATGGTACATGCAGAATGCCGAAGCTGAAGAAAAAAGGGGAGCTGAACTCAGGTCCGTCCTCCCCTTTTATACGGACCGAGGTGAGGCCCACGTCACGTGGGCGTGGACTATTGGTCTTCAGAATGCGCGTACGCGCACGGGGGTACCCATCTGCGATAGCCTTAGAGGGCTGCGCTTACACTCATAGAATCTGGTGTTACAATACGTAACCAACGTTTTTAACTTTGGGCTGCAGAGGGCCGCAGGACCATTTTGATTTTGAATAAGGTGCAATACACTTTCTCACCACTAGTAGCGGTAATGCTCCACTCAGATGTTTAACAACCCTTTTTAATACATAGAAGAAGAACCTTAGAAACCTGCCAAGATTGGAAACCTATTTTAAATTAAATGTATAAGCAAAAATGAGGATAACCCATGAAAAACATGCCAAAGTTTGTTACTAATATGAAGAGCAGTTTCTGGTTCTACCATTCAACAGTTTAAAAGTTCAAAACATTATCAAATACAGTTGCAGATGCAGCTATATTTTAATTTGCAATTTATCAAATTAATTTTTGTAATTTATTTTTACGCATTTTGTCAAAAAGCTGTTTGTCATAATCATGTCTTGTGATTATTTGACAGGAGTTTTACTTTTAAACAGTAAGTGTATTTTATTTAGTTATAATGCAAATACAATAACAAATTATACCAAGATTTAGAATAATTATCGTTTTGATCCGTATGGTAATGTGTGACTGGGCCTCGTGTCACTTTATGTTCAACAAATTGGGCCCCGAGGTCAAAAAGGTTAAGAACCCCTGGTGTAGAGGGTAGAACCTGAGGTGGGACCTTGTGTGCAAACTCTGAGGTGCAGCTGTGATCTATAAAGCAAAGGTGCACAGAAACATGCGTACGCACGGTTTTATAAATCTGAATTTTTTTGGCGTACGCCATTTTCGCCTTTTGGCCGTACGTTCACTTTTAGTATGGTTTCGGACGTTCGATCTGTGAATGACTCTCAGCTACCACTACACCACATTTTAGTAAATCTGTAAAATTAGATGAGTTTCCTATTGTTTGTAATGTCAGTAGGCTGTGGCAGCCACCTTGAATTCAGTATATCCTAAATTTGTCCAGTAGTTCATCCAATATTTTGGTAATAGACACTCCCAGAAACACAGCAACCATCAGCAAATTTAGAGTTAGTTTAAGACTTTTTCACAGTACTGTGTGATAATTACTGAATTAGACACTAAAACATGCTGTGCTTAATGAAAAAAGAGAGAGCTTCGCAGACAGAAGCAGAGAAGAAGACAGGAGTGTTAGACACCTGAGACGAGTCTTTAGGTTTACAGTCATTCGACAGGAACTTAGAGGAGAGTTTAGAAACAGGAGCTCTGTGGGGACCAGCAGAGGAGGAGGAGGAGGAAGAGGAGACAGGAGGAAAGGAAGCCTTGGGAGGATAGCGGGAGGTCAGCTTAGGTGAGGGCATATTCTCATACAACTCTGCATTCTCATAGTGAGCCTCCTCTGTCCGCTGACGCCCTCTGCTGCTGGGAGACGAGTACTGCGTCTTCGGTTCCTGAGATCACACCAGACAAACGTGCAAACAACCCAAAGTATAGGGGAAGGAAAAAAAAGGAATTGATAGATGGGAAAGGAGAGGGAAATAAACGACAAAAAGGATGAAAAAGCAGAGGGTAAGAAAAAGAAGGGAGTTGAAAATGACAAAAAAAATGCGGAAAAGAAAAAAGAAAGGAAAGGAACAAAAATGGTATCGAAGGGAAAAAGTAAGGCAAAACGAAACAAGAAAAAAGCAAAAAATAGAAAAACAAAAGAAAAAGTACAAGAAAAGAAGAAAGGAATAGAAATGATAGAGTATTTAGTAGAAGCAGTGTTACTGATTATTAGTGTGTTAATAGGTTGTGTTAAAAAAACCTCAGCCTCCGAACCTCCACCTGATGAGAGTCTTGTCTCAGCCTGTTGAGCTAAAAGTGTTCTCACCGTTCCATTAATGGGTACATCATCATAGTGCAGAGCCACGCCGGAGGGGCAGGCATAGCCGTTGGTGGAGTTTTCCCGGTACGGACTGGGAGAAACGGCACGCTTACTGGTGAAGCTTAAAAAGAAGAAGACTGAATGTGAACAGAAGGCAGATAACAGCTGTGACCTCACAGCAGCTGGACCAGCTATCACATAGAATACCAAAATGACTGCTTGGCCAGCTGGATGACGTTGGCGGTGGTCTCCACATCGATGTAGTCGTAGTGCAGAGTGGCTGGGTCTGTGGTGGAGCCGGTCTCAGCCAGTAAAACCCCCAACCAGCGACCCAGCTGCTCAGAGGAGGCGGCCTGGATACAAACAGAGGTACACAGCAAAGGAAGCTGAGGTTAGATTTGATTCTCCAATCATGGCTCGGATGATTTGACTGAAGCAGCTGAAAACAACAGCTCACCTCCAGCACAGCCACTTCTTGGCCATTACGAAGCAGGCGGAAGGCAAACGGATGTTTGTGGTCGAGGCCGGGGTTGACCTCGCAGCCTCGGAGAGGCAGGGAGGCAACGTGGCTCTTCAGGTCGTCCCGGTCCTTGTGGAGGAGCAGTTGGTTGTCTTTCAGGCGACACCAGCGCTCCCGCCAGCGGTTATTGGACAGTACATTCAGGTAGCCTGTCAGCCGGAGCACACACAGTCAGAATCCTACTGTAGACAAGTTAATAGTTAAAATGATCACTGGGAACTGGGAACCAATATGAAAATTCCAGCCGATATCCAATATTGTTATTGGTGTTATGGCCAATAACTGATATTTACGATGTTACACAAACACACAATTTATTTATATACATATACGCACAAACACACTTGTGTGTTTATCAATATGATAAAAAAATGACCAGACTACTGGGCACCATTGGGCGGCTGTGGCAGAGTGGTTATGGGTGTCGTCCTGGAACTGGAAGGTCGCCGGTTCAATCCCCCATCCAGCTGTCTTGTTGTTGTGTCCTTGGGCAAGACACTTCACCCCTAATACCTCTGATGTGTGTCCCATCAGTGTATGAATGTGATTGGCACCGATTAGTCTCCATAGTTGGTTGTATATGTTATCTTTGTAGAGACCTAATAGAGTGCTGTGTGAATGGATAAATGAGGACACAGATTGTAGTGTGAAGAACTTTGAGTGTCCTGGATGGATAGAAAGGTGCTATACAAGTACACTCAATTTACCATCTACCACTGACATATCTCTCTAATTCAGTTATTCCTGGCTGTGCAGCGTCACTAACACTATCATGATCAAACAGACACCACTCAACTAACCACTTCCCCTCCCAAAAGAGAAACGCAAAGCTAAAAAAGTGGGAAATCAATATTGGATATTAAAATCGGCCCAATTTTACTTATTGGACCGATACTGATATTCTAAAAAATACCATACCACACCACTTTCATTTATAAAGCACTTCAAACAGCACAAGGCCAACCAAAGTGCTGTACAATAGACAGACACAACAGGACATAGTCAAAATATAGTTAAAAATATGGAGCATTTATATTTACAGTACACATAGAACAGAGTTATGATACATAGTGAGGTTTTGTGCCATCTCACTCAGACTCAAAGCCAAGGGAGTAGTAGTGTGTTTTTAAGCAAGACTTGAAGACAGCGAGTGAAGGAGACTGTCTGACATGTAGTGGTAGATCAGTCCACAGGTTTGGACCTGCTACAGAAAAGGATCTGTCACCTCTCAGTTTGAGACGAGACTTAGGGACCTTCAGAAGCAGCTGACCAGATGATGTAAGACAGCGCTGTGGGACAAGTGGATGCACTAGATCTGAGAGGTAAGAGGGGGTGGAGTTGTTTAAGCATTTAAAGACATACAGGAGGATCTTAAATTGAATTCTGAAATGAACCAGAAGCCAGTGAAGAGATACTAGAACAGGAGTAATATATGTTCTCTTTTACCTGTGCCAGTTAGAAATCAGGCTGCTGCATTCTGAGCCATTTGTAAACGAGCAATGGAAGACAGGCTGATTCCATATACAGCAGAGCATTACAGTTATCCAGCCTGGATGTAATGAACACATGAATTACTGTCTCCACATTTCTTTTTGACAGGATGGGTTTTAACTTGGACAGTCTCCTCAGCTGAAAAAAGCAGGATTTAACAACAGAGTTTACATGACTGTTTAATTTCAAGTATGGACCCATCTTTACACCTAGGTTGGTGACAAGTTGTTTTTCAAACGGGGCCAGAGTGGAAAGGTTGATGCAAGTGTTACTGTTTGTGTTGTTAGCTGGAAACAGAATGACTTCTGTTTTCTTCTCATTAAGTTTAGGAGGTTTAAAGCCATCCAATCCCTGATGTCAGCCAGGCAGTCAAGAAAAGGTTGGATGCAGTGTGGGCCAGCCTGTTTCAGAGTAAAGTAAATTTGACAGTCGTCCGCATAAAGATGAAATGGTATGTCATGTTTACGAAAAATTGCACCTTGTGATAGTAGGTATAGAGAAAAAAGAAGGGATCCTAGGATAGAGCCCTGTGGTATTCCCCACTGAAGTAGTGCTGATGAGGACATGAAGTCCTTGATGTTAACACAGAAATGTCTGTATGTCGGGTAGGACTTGAACCAACTGAGGGCTGAACCTGTGATACCCACCTCCTTCTCCAGCTTGGAAATGAGGATGTTATGATCAATGGTGTTGAAGGCTGATGTGAGGTCTAATAGCAGAGGGAGGATATATTCACCAGAGTCTAGGGCTAAAAAGATGTCATTAAACACCTTCAACAGAGCAGACACAGTGCTGTGATGGGATCTGAATACTGACTGAAATGTCTCCAAAATTTCGTGGTCCTCCAAGAAAGGTTTTAACTGAGTGTCCACTACTTTTTCAAACAGCTTTGACAGAAATGGCGGTTTGGAGACGGGTCTAAAGTTAGACACTGTGGATGGGTCAAGGCCATTTCCTTTCAGGAGGGGCTGCACGGCTGCCTGTTTAAAGCTTTGTGGGACTACACCTGAAGTTAAGCTGCTGTTTGTAATGTTAAGAACAGCAGGACCCAGAGTGGGGAAGATCTCTTTCAGAAGTCGGTGGGGAACTGTATCAAAGGGGGATCCAGATGGTTCTAAGCTGGAAAACAGCTTCTCTAAGTGGGACAGAGCGATGGACTCAAAGTGATCAAAAACTGCTGAATACAGGGTTAAGATGGATGGATCATGAGCTGGTGTGGAGATGAGAGCCTGAGTTTGCGAGCGCATCAACTTTGATGCGAATTAGAGGAAGTTTTTTCGAATCATGCTGTTTCCATCCACCTTTTCTGCTGCAATACTTCAAAATGCGCATTAAAAAAACCTTGATGGAAACATGGCTTATGAAGAAGGTGAGAAATTCCTCGCACAGTTCAGAGGAGGCTTCCAGGTGGGCTGGTTCATTCAGTTGGAGAACAGTATTCAGAGTAGAATAGAGGATTCGGGGGTTGTGCGAATTTGAGACAATGATGTCTGAGTATTTACTTTTTGCAGCTTTAACAGCTAAAACAGAACGCCAGCTCTGTTTTAGCATCAAGAAACCTACAGCTTGTCCTTTCTCCACCTCTGCTCAGCTTTCCGACACTGATGCCTGAGTGCTCTGGTTTCATCATTTAACCAGGGTTCATTCCTGGACTTCAGGCGTTTTGTTTTAACTGGAGCCACCTGGTCTAGAATGTTAACACATGCTTTTGGAATTGAAGGGAAAGCCTTCAGTGTTAGCAGACTCTGAAAACCACTTGAATCCTTCAGAGTTAAATATTTCAGTAAAGTGTGTGGCAGTTGAAGGGTTAATAGCCCGGCTAGGCATAGTTGTAGTGCACTGTTTAGGAGATGTACTGGGGGTGATGAAACTGAATAAAACGGGCATATGGTCTGAGAAAAAGGCATCACCAATAATCAGATTAGAAACAGAAATGCCATTTGTTATGACAAGGTCCAGTGTATGTCCACGTTCCAGGGTTGGAGCAGTTACAGACTGTGTTAGATTAAAGGAGTCCAATAAAACTAAAAAGTCCTTCACTAAAGGCTTATCATTGCAACATACATGAATATTAAAATCACCCATGATTAAAAGGTGGTCATATTTAGGCATGAGTTCAATCGTAAGTTCAGAGAATTCACTTATAAAATCTTTTTTGTATTTCGGCGGACGATAGATAAGCGCACACAGCAGCGCGGGCGACTATCCCACTTCAAAAAGGATCAGTTCAAAGTTCAAGAATGAAACCGGGATGGACACTTATTTACAGACAAAATTTGGTTTAAATATAGTCAACAGACCGCTGCCACAGCCTGAGGACCTCTGCGAGTTAAAGTACCTGCAGTCAGGAGGTAAGAGATCCGCCAGGGCTCTCGACTCACCACTCGGCATCCAAGTTTCAGTAATACAGAGAAAGTCCAGCTCCTGTTCGCTGAAAAACTCCCACAAAATAATTGTCTTTTTCGTTACTTATCTGGCATTAACCAAGCACATCCTGATTGGGCCCGCAGCCGACACAGCCTCCGTGTGCGCCGTGCGCACCAGCGGCCGCAGGTTCTGAAGATTTGCGCCTTGGCGGCGCGGCCGTTTTGGATCAGAGCGCTGATGCTTGAGGTGATGACTGTTATCTAGTCAGGGGGATCTGATGTCCGGGACAGGTCGGAGAAGATGTGGTCAGCTTGATGTGATGTCAAGAGATCCTTGGTGGAATAATTCCCATGATGTTTCAGCTTTGCCAGCTTCACCAGCAACCCGGCCCATCTTCCTCGCCATTTGCGACGCTTCCTCCTGGGTGGTAGCCCTGGGTCCAGATGGGTGGCCTGTATCCCGAACAGGGGCTTTAAGAGTCCTGGTGGTCATATGATGAGAAGTTTGCCGGCGATCCAGAAAAACTACAGAGCTCCAAGAGTGTCTTGCGATCATACTGTATTAATGAAAATACCCCTTTGCAAATATTAAGTAAAAACAGTGAAAGTATAAAAAAGTGCAGGAGCGACAGATGGCAGGCCGTATACACTGGCGCCATCTTGAAACTCCTCAGTTTAGTAAAAATGATCAATATTATCTGATACAGATGTTAATGTCGATATATTGTGCATCACTACTGGAAACAATATTTGAGTGTAGAAGTGGAACAAAACACTCAGCTCATAAGAAGAGAAATACATTTTGGCAAGGTTTTTAAAGAAACTTTAAAACAAATAAGCTGGAAAATAATGTTTCCTAAGCACTAATGGAATTCTCGTCACAAAGTCAAACTCTGTCCTATGAAATAGGGATGCACGATATATGGACAATCACATTGATATCGGCCGATGATGCTCATTTTTTTTATATCCGTATCGGTCTAATAAGTACCAGATCTTTGTATATATTGAAGAGAATTATAAAATCCAGTATTCTGAAGAAATATAGAGAAGTATAAGTGAATTCATGCAAATTGTTTTCTGAGTTGGTGTTTTAAATTTTGTTTTTAGTTTTTTGTGTGTTTTCAGTTGTTTTGATTTTTGTTGTAATTTACTTTTTTAACATATTTTGGGTATAAAAAGGGGTAGATATTATAAGATTTTTTTCTGCTGTCTTTCATATTATTTGATTTTATTTTGATTGCATGGTTTTTGTTCTTTGTTATTTTATGTTACAAATGTCCTGATGCATCTCAGTAATCCTGGTAGAAAAAAAGCAAAAAAAAAATAATAATAATAAGTATGTCCTCTGGATGGGTTCTTCTTTAGTGAAACATTTCATCTCTCCTCAAAGAGACGTCTTCAGTCTGAGGAGTTTCAGGTGAACTCAGCCTTAAAATCACTGCCTCCGCATGGTGGACAAAGAGGTCAGTCACATGCAAAATAGGGCCATCGCTTAACAATAGGCTTGCTTAGCTCTATTGTTAATAGAGGGTCATGTGCCCCATCACCTGACTTATTGGTTTCGATGCTGTGGTTCTTAGGTGTCATGTCATGTGTATGTAGTGAATGCAGGCGGGGCTCAACATCCCGTTGT